TGCTAAATTTTCTATCCTTTTTTATTAGCCTATAGGAGTAAATTCTACCCACTAAAAGTTGAGGTTAGGGGCATAAACTGAGGTCCTAGGTAAAAGAAAAAGAAAAGAGCAAAAAGGAAGAATAAAAGATATAGCCAGGATCACGAGGGGTCCCTTAGACACAGTGACTACACTACTAGAACAAAACAATCACTTAACTAAGGGTATTTCCAGGCAACCTATAAAACACTGAAATGTTACAAAAGTTTGAAAACAATAAAGTCCCTATTTCTATTTTTTTTCCTCCAATGGTATTGACATTATATAATTTTATAAGGTTTCTTTTAACATAAAACACAAATTAAGAACTTGATAATAAATATATTATTAAGGAATAAGTTACAGGTAAAATGAAATTTTGTTCTTAAAAAAGAAAATACATGTCAGGTTACCTAAAAAGTATTTTTATGGGAAAATAAAATACAAATACTTTAACTAAAATTTAAAGTACATGCAAGAGTAAAAGGCTTATTACATTTTTTGTAAACAAGCTTAAAACACAGAAATAAAAAAGCAATACTTTGAGAATCATGATTTATTTCCAGGAGAATTCATGTGTTTGCCTACTTTTTCATTTTGAAATCCAACTCAAACTTGATAAAGATGTCAAGTTTGAAATATATACTATTTATTGAGCGTCTACAATGTATCCAGCACTGATCTAAGTGCTAGGGATGTAGCAGTGAATTAAAGTCTTTCCCCCATAGAGGGTGACTAGAAGACAATAAACAAGCACATGATTCCAGTGGTGATAAGTTCTATTTAAAAAACTAAAAAAGCCCTGGCCGGTTTTGCACAGTGGTTAGAGTGTCAGCCTGCAGACTAAAGGGTCTCGGGTTCGATTCTAGTCAAGGGCACATACCTAGGTTACAGGTTCATCCCTGGCCCCTGTTGGGGTTGTGCGGGAGGCAACCAATCAATGTGTCTCTTTCATGTCGATGTTTCTCTCTCTCTCTCTCTCTCCCTCCCTCCCTCCCTCCCTCTCTCCCACTCTATCTGAAGATAAATTGAAAAATGTCCTTGGGTGAGGATTAAAAAGAAAAGAAAAAGGAAAATACCCTTGAGTAAGGATTAACAAAAATAAAAATAAAACAAGTTAAGGTAGACTAGGGAATGTAGGGGAAAATCTATTTCATGGAGTGGTCAGGAACAGTCCTTATGATTAGGCAATTTGGCAAGATATAAATTTAATGAGGAAGGAAATTATGAGGATAATCTGACCTCAACAAAGTGATCAGCAAGTCCAAGGACCTTGACAATAAAGATTGGAACGCAGCTAGGCTCCTGACCATGGGGAACCTTATAAGCAACGGCATAAAGTTTGGATTTTCTTTGAATCCTTTGGAAGGAAGCAACACATTTACTTTTAGAAATCTGAGAGTAAACCCTGAGGCAAGAGCAGAAGCAGAGAGCAGTCAGGAGGCATCTGCAATACACCAGGAGAGAAACAACAATGTAAGGGTACAATGTAAGGGTGAGTGGTGGAGGTGGAGGTGGAGGTGAGAAGTGGTCAGTTTATGTACTTTTAGAAAGCACAGCTAATAGGGTTTGATGATCAATTGGGATGTGAATGTAAAAATAATAGAGAGAAGTCCAGAATATATCTGGAGATACTGGCTCAAGCAATTAACTGTGATAAATGGTGGTGATGCCATTCACTGAGACAGAAAAGGCTGGGAGAAAAGTAGTTTTGGGGACAACACTCAAAAGTTCATTTTGGCCCTGGCCAGGTGGTTCAGTTGGCTGGAACATCATTCCATACACCAAAAGGTTGTGGGTTCAATTCCTGGTCAGGGCACATACCCAGATTGCGGGATTGATACCCAGTAGGGGTGCATGTGGGAGGTAACAGATCACTGTTTCTCTCACATTGATGTCTCTCTCTCTCTCTCTCTCTCTCTCTCTCTCCCTTCCTTATCTCTCTAAAATCAATCACACACACACACACACACACACACACACACACACACACCCCTCGGGTGCAGATTAAAAAACAATATAACAATAAAGTTCAGTTTGGACATCAACCTTTGTGGTACCCATCACGCATCCAAGTTGAACTGTTAAGTAGGATATGCGAGTTAGGGGAATGATAGGGACAGGAGATTTGATAAATTTGAGAGTCATCAGAATGTAAATGGCATTGGAATGAGTAAGGATACAGGGTATTCTGAAACTCAACTGTGGCTTGTTCTCATCTAACTCCATGTTCCTTAACTTTTAAAAATTAAGCAGCTGCTAAGACTTGCAGTCTGTTGAATGGTGCTTACAGAAGGGCAACATCAGAGTCAAATGGAACGTAGCTAAATTGCCCTGTGAGTGGCTAACCAAGTGAAAAGCAACATTAGAATCCTGGGAAAAACTGAGGGCTGTGGATCACTAAAATAGATTGGCTTTCAGGTATCTGAAGACCCCAGTGAAGATTACCTTCCATCCCTCTGAATATGCTGTATTTTCCTAATTCAGACAGGTGGGTCTTCCTATTTTAGAAACTAGGAGAGTTCAAGTAGATTAGAGAGTATTAGGCTTCCTTCTGGTATCTCGGGGGGGGGGGGGGGTACTGACTCGCCTTAAACTTCAGGCATTATTCCTATTGCAATGCACGGGATTCCTGATATTAAGGATAATTCAGCAGTCAGACTTGATTTCCAATGAGCTATCATAGAAAAATAAGTGACCATGTGAGAGGTGCCAACATTTGAAAGAGCAACATAAGAGTGAATAATCAGGACACATATCTTGTGAACAAGAAGTACTAGAAAGAAAGACAAACACCTGCACAAAAACTGTTTGAGCACTTAAGTAAATTCTAATGCAACACACACATACACACACACCGTGTAAAGCTCAAAGCCATGATTATCAAAGTAAAAGGAGTAGATGAATTTTTTTTAAAAGAAAAGGATGATTGTTATTGACATCTAATAAGTAGACTGGAAGATGAAGTACAAGGACTATCTCAAAGCACAGAGTAGAAGGTAAAATAAATAAAAATATTAAAGGAAAAGAAATGACTTGAAGGATAGGTCTAAAAAACTAACATTTAAAAAAGTATTCAAAAAGAGAAAAGACATCATGTAAAGGAGAGGCAACAATTAAGTAAATAAAAGAAAATTTCTCTGGGTTGAAGAAACATCTCTGGTAGATAATTGGAAAGGGTAACCAGGTTTCAGGTTGGATTGATATACATGACTTTAATGGAAAATGTGTACTATAAATGAGGACTCTAGAAACAGAAGTGGGACGTTCTGAAAAGCTGAATGTGCACATTTGAAGGGTGGTAACAAAGAAGAGGGGTGCTTAAAGTACAGTAGTGCCCCTTTATCTGTGGAGGATATGTTCCAGGACCCCCAGGGATGTCTGAAACCTCAGATAATACTGAGCTTTATACATGCTTTTTTCCCTATACACACCTATGATAAAGTTTAATTTATAAATTAGGCAGAGTAAGAGGTTAACAATGATAACTAATAGAATAATTATAACATACTGTAATAAAAATTATGTGAATGTGGTCTCTCTTCCTTTCTCCCTCTCTCCAGTAATTTTTAAGATTTTTCACTCCAAACTGACACCTGAAATCTGCGTTACCATTCCTGTAGTTAATGGCCTGGTGTCATTTTTTTCAGGGGATCCCTTGCTGGTCTTCCTATAGGGTCAATGCTTTCTGGAGCAACATGATACCATCAGTCAGAAACATTTTCTGTTCATGTTTTCCACCCTCTAATTCAATGTTTTTTTCCATCTTTACTGAGCACTTATGCATTGTAGCTGTAATTTTTGCAGTTTGAGGTGTTACAGCAAAACTAGCACAAATTTCTTTTTCCTTCATAATCTCATGGACAGAAGATTCATTCTTACCGGAGATCTCAGCTACCTCAGCATATGATTTTTTTCTTTCTTTATTAAGTCAAGCACTTGCACCTTTTCACTTAGAGGAAGTACTTCACAGAGGCTTCTCTTTGGCATATCTGAATTGCCAGCATCACTACTCTTGTGCTTTGAAGCCATTATTAAGTAAAATAAGGGTGACCTGAACATAAGCACTGCGATACTGCAACAGTAGGTCTGGAAACTGAGAGAGTTACAAAGTGACTAACTGCCAGGTAGCATCTACACTGTGGAGACGCTGGACAAAGGTATGGTTCACATCCGGGTGTAATGGAGCAGGATGGCGTGAGATTTCATAACACTATTCAGAATGGCACATAATTTAAAACTAATGAACTGTTTATTTCTGGAATTTTCTATTTAATATTTTTGAACTAAACTGACTGTTGGTAATTGACACTGTGGAAAGCAAAACCTGGGATTAGAGATGAGGACTAATGTATTTACAAAAAGTAAATGATAGGCCAGACATGGCCCATGGAGAGTAATTTGTAAACTCTTGTTTTAAGAGAGTCAGAATTCTCTTTTTAGAAAAAATCTGAATTTTCCTTTGGATTACAATTTAAAAAATAATACTATAAGAATATTCTGGATTAGCCCTGGCCGGTTTGGCTCAGCAGTTAGAGCGTCCTGCGGACCAGAGAGTCCTGGGTTCGGTTTCCGCTAAGGGCACGTACCTCGGTTGGGGTTCGTCCTGGCCCCGGTTGGGGACGTGTGGGTGGCAATCAGTAGATGTGTCTCTCTCATGTCAATGTTTCTCTCTCTCCCTCCCCTTTCCTCTCTCCCTCCCACTATATCTGAAGATAACTGCAAAAAAAAAAAAGTCCTCTGGTGAGGATAAAAAAAAAAAAAAAAAAGAATATTCTGGATTAACTGAATAACTGCTTTAAAATTGGGTGTGTGTAGCCCGGCCAGTGTGGCTCAGTGGACTGTCAGCCATACCTGAGAGGTCTCAGTTTGGTTCCCACGCCCGGACTGAGGGCTCAATCCCCAGTAGGAGGCATGCAGGAGGCAGCCGATCGATGTTTCTCTCTCACATCGATGTTTCTTCCTTTCTTTATTTTTTTTCATTGGAGAGCGGGAACACAGTCCCCACTACCACAAATTATGCAGTTGAGTTTCCCACCTTTGGGGTAATCAAAGGAGTCAACACACCCAGAGTGCAATGGATAAGCCTCGCCCTGGGAAAACCACCTTCGTGATCATGGTACCTCCCCTGCCAGGTAAATGTTCACATCGATGTTTCTCTCTCTTTTCCCTTCCTCACTCTCTAAAAAAAAAAAATCAATGAAAACATTTTAAAAAATCGAGTGTGTGTATATTTAGTATTCTCTTTTGCATTTAGGATTGTATGAGGCATATATTCTCCCCTACACACCACACCAAATCCTTCTTACTGTGGAATGCTGAATGTATAAATATTAGTTAGCAGAGAAATGTGGATCACTCATAAAGAAACTGATTTTTTTTTCAGCTCCAAACTTTCAACTTCATTAGCGTAGTTATGATAGTCAGTATGAAATGATTTTACTCTTCTTGATTACAATCACACTAATGGACCTGTTTGATAGAGAGTTCGATAATGCCTCAGAGCTGGACTGATCTCTATGTGACAGAGGTGGCTATGGTGTTTCTACATCACTCCTCATTAAAAATGGCCTTGGAATTTGTGGCAGAGCCTGATGCTGCTTTCCCCAAATCCTTTCTTCCCCTTTCCCTCACTAATAACAACCTGAGGGTGGGGTCTAGGTGATCAGCTAAAACCCTCCTTTTCCAAGCTCCATTTCAACCAGAAGTGGATGTGACACAATGTGTGGCCGATGAGACAGTAAAGGTCATTGGGTGGTGATTCTGAAGAAACTTGTTAAAATAGGGTCACTCAAGACAAGTGCCCTTTTGTCTTTTTCCTCTCTTCAAGCATCAAACAATGATGCCAAACCTGGAACTGTAACAGCTATCTTTTGACCTACCAGGAAGGAAAGGACAAGAAGATGGCAGAGGTTTGGCTGGGACATCTTGGCTGCTGCTCCAGCACAGACTACCTAACTGCACACTTCCTGCTGAGGGGAATAGCCATTACCATTTGGTTTTTTGTTCTGAGTAGCTGGACTCAAGTCCCTACCATTAAAAAGCAAATACAGAATATGAATACGATTTAAATACTAAATAGATATGAGGCTATTTCTTTTCACTATAAAACCCAACAGCATCAATTTACTTTCCACAAAATAACGTCATCCATCATGTTAAATTAATATTGGTAAACTGAACTGTCTTTTATTTTGTGGTTTACTCTTAATTTTATGAATATGTTTTCCTTTTAAAAATATTTTCTAAAACCTATATGTATAAGGAAGTTGGACATTGTTTGGGATTTCTGTTTAATATAAACATTTTTAATAAACAATAGGGGTTTAAGGGATTTTTTTCCCTTTGAAACTAGTTTGATGATTACTCAGGTGTGAGGATCTGCTTGAGGGTGAGGCAGAGGCATTCATTTTGAATCCAGACAATATTTTAATGCTTCACCACATCTTTCTTCCTGTAACCTTTATTGCATATTTGGATAGAAGTGACTACTCCCCTCTTCTGTCTTACAGTGTTTACCCTGTCTTACAGTAACATTTAGTTCACTTGCTCAGACTAAGGGCCTAGCACTATATCTGTTGCTCAAAGTTATATTTGGTGAATGTGTACCTGGTGGTTATTAAAAGTAAAAAAATAAGATTATAATAGAAGTGTTCAGGTTTTATTAACATATAATTCAATAAATCCAAAAACCAGGCATAAAAAGGAATTCATAAAGGATAGTGTCCTACTATATTCTGAGAGAGGCTCTCAGTTTGTGATAAAACTAACTTATTTCTCCATCTACCTATCAACATTTAAGTATCAATAATGCACAAGTCTTTATTAAGAAAGCAAATTTAATACCGTTATTCATTTTTTCTACTTATAAAATCACTAGATCAAGCAGACCTTACCTCTTAGTTGCTTTTTATATAAACTATATTTCTCAGCACCCGGCTAGCTCAGTCGGCAGAGCATGAGACTCTTAAACTACATTTTTGTTTGTAAGTCCAAAATATTATAATGAATGTTACTGTCAATTAAGCCCTATAAATTCTCTACTAATTGCTGCAGGAATAATCAATGTTTCTGACCTGCAGCTTTATAAACAAGAATAAATAATTGTATAAAGTTAACGTGATATAATGGTCCAGTGGGATTATACACGCTAAAAACAATAATTCTCAGAAAACAGCTGAAATACACCTTTTTAAAAAAACCATCTAGGAGGATGCTGAGACTATTTTCTATTTTACTTTTTAAAATTTTATTATTGTTGAAAGCAATACATACAGATATATCCCTTTTCCCCCATTGACCCCCCTCCTTCCCACTCCCAAGCCCTCCTGCTTTCCCCAACCTAATGCCTGTGTTGATTTGTTGTGCATATATGCATATAAGTTCTTTGGTTCTTCTCCTCACCCCTCCCACCCCCCATCCCTCTGAGGTTTGTCAGTCTGTAAAAAGTTTGTTATTAGTAAAAAGTTTGTTATTAGTAAAAATTATAGGTAATTTTGTGCTAATGAAGAATAATATTTTCCATATCTAATCAAGCAATAGAGACTAGTTTAATTTTTTAAAGCAATTATTTTCAAAACTTAATTGGATTTTGGTATACACAGGTTTTGTTTATAAAACCCAAATCTCTTATACATTTGAAATTATCACAGGCTTTTATGTCTATCCTGTATGTCACTGGTGTTTCATAATGGGTAAAAGAACTAAAAACAAAACACTAAATGTTATTGCAACTTGTTTTTCAAAGTCATAATATAAGCAGCAAACGTGGGTTGCTTCCCCTAGTCTTTCTCCTCTTATTTCACTATTACAGACTAGAATTTGGGTATACTTTCCATGTGCTTCTGAACATTGCTGGGTAAGGATGTATTGTCTGGAACTACTTATGATGGCAGAGTAGAAAGATGACATGTGTAGGCCACTGAATGAACCACCCTGGAATCATCCACTCCTGGATTTCTTGTTATGTATTATAGGAAAAATTAATTCTCTTTAGTGATTAAGCCATTTTGAATTGAGTTTCTATTCTTGCACAGCATCCTAACAAAAACAGTGTTTGCAAAACCAGTTTTTAAAGTCAATCACACTTCCTTCTTTATAACAGCTAAATTTGAAGTTACTGTCCTCTGTAGGGACATCCATTGCCAGTATTTATCACTGACAGTGAACATGGTTATTTGGTTTTTATTTAACTGAATGTATCTTCACCATCATAACAACAATAAAGTTTTTATAGTATATTTTAATTTACAAAGTACCATCTTACCTCATTTGATCACAGCTCAGCTTAGTTGGCTTAGTTCAGTCATCTCATAAAACAGATGAGACTAAGAAGCTGGATATAGAGGTCTAAGATATTTCAAATTATATGTTTGCAAATAAGAGCACCACATTAAGCTTTTAGAGAAATACAGCAGACTGATTTGATATGCAACCAAAATATACAGTGCTTTGTAGTTTTCATTTTAACAGAAATTTCTGAACCAAGGATAAGAATCACATACTCAAACCAACTGTTTAACCCCTTTAGAGATTTTTGTTATTGTGTCTAGGTCTTAATTAGCTTTAGTTTCAAGTATCAACACGCAACATACATCACAGTAACTTCAGGATATCCATTTTTTAAAAATGTCCAAAAAGAGGTTTTAAATGTAAACCTAGAGCATAAGTTGAAAGCCTTAGGTACTGATCAAGAACTTGTATATGGGTGGTACTTAAAACTGTGAGAATGGACGAGAACTTTAGAAATTTAGGTTGAGCATGAAAAGAATCACTGAAGACTGAACACTGTGAAGGATGGACAGGGGAGTATGCATCAGCAAAGGAGGCAGAGATAAGAGCTAGGAGGAGAATCAAAGCAGCTGGGAGCCCGGGATAGCTTTCCCAGGAAGTGGCTGTTCCATCCCAGGCACCACAAAGAGACCAAGCTAGACGAGAGCTGAAGCTGAAGGTTTCCTGATTACATATACTGGTCATTTGCCAAAGCAATGAAAAACAGTCTTATTTATGATTTTCAACCTCACTGTTTTTCCTATTCTTTTTCATGTTACATGTTAGTATCATGTTACAATACTATATTGTGCATTTTAGGAATTGTACACAAGATCACAAAAGGTATAAATCTTATATTATTATTTGTAACATATATGAACTTGCACTTACAGAGAATATTTCTGGAAGGCTACAGAAGAAATTGGTAATTTTGTTGCCTCTAGAACAGCCTATGTCTGGGACACACTTGAGGAATAGAGATTAGAGACTTTCCACTTTTATATCTCTTGAATTATGTACATATGACTGTATCCTCAATTCCAAAAATAAATAATATTAAAGCTAAACAAATAAAGTAAAGGCTATTTTATCATGTTGAATTTTTACAGTTACAGGGGAAGTATTTTAAGACATTGCTGTGGCTGGAAAAAAATGTTATGACTTGGTCCTCTGAAACTGTGGTCCCTGTGGCTTGGTCTACAGGAGAGAGTGGGTGGAATTTATTAAAGTAACATTAAGTTCGCATTGGCCAAATATACCATACTAAAGAGTGGTATGGTGTATAATATGATACAGAATGTCATGAGTCGTTTATAGGCTAAGTGGTTGATTAGTGCTAATGGACAGATTACATATGAACATCCAAAAGGTGATTATCCCTGTAGTACTAGCCCTCCTCTGAGGCTGAGACATGCGTGTAATAGGCTAAGCAGATCCTGTTTTCAGGTACAAAGTCCTAAATCCTGTAGTTATGATTCAAAACACAAGTAGAGTGTTCATATTATATATGTTCACTTCATTAAATTCTCAATGCAATCAAAATATTCTTTTGGAGAGTTTTGCTATTTTACTTTTACAGACATGATTTATTCAAAAGAGATATGGGTGCTAATTATAGAAAAGGTGGTTTATTTAACATAAAGAAATTGAAAAACTTCAGGTTAAGCTCAAATTGTTCAGTTCTGAGAGTATTGCATTTAAAATTTAGCTAGTGTGTAAAATGATTCTCAGAAATGTATAATGCTGTTCAGTTTTCTCTTTTCTATCTGCATGACAACTGGGTTAAAAATAGCAAACACAGAGCATGTGCATCCAAAGATATGGCTACTGTATACTCTGAAGTATGTATGTCTTGATATTCTAAGTGGATGA